TTAACAACACAGAGCAAGAAAACACTGGCTGCGTAATGTCTTGATATACTTCTTCCATGAACATCAAAATGGAGAAGAAAGCAACAGGACCCTAAGGAGTCCTGTGAGCTTTTTCTCCATTTAAGTTCTACATTCTTGCATTAGAATTTATTATATTCTTCAAAGTTTTCATTAGATACTGTGACTCTTTGGGGCAAACTATTAGCTTTGCCTAATACCCAGGAGTAATATTTTATAAATGTACATTAGTGTTGATTCCACTAATGTATTACCAATCATGTCTTTATTCTAGTTACTTTTAATGACTAAACTCCCCAAAGGAACAATTGTAACACAAAAATTATGTGGTATGATGCAGGGCAAACACTGACATCTTCTAGGGAAAAAAATGCTGGACTTTGTCTAAGAAAGAGCATGAAAATAGATCCAACATTTTTTTTAGAATGGCAGAGCTGATTTACAAGTGAATGATCTGATATCATAACAATTAGATCAAGCTGAAGCAGTTTCAGCTCAATAATTTACAAAGTAGTCATAGAAATCTGTTGTTAAGTATTGAGCACAGATAAATATGTTTTGGTTGTCTCCACTATGGATTAAGGCTGTGAAACTTCTGCCAGGCTTCCAGCATCATCTACAAAACTGCAACAGAGAAGCCTGCAATTCTGAGGAAACTGTTTTGTCTCTAGATCAGTGTTTAATATCCTTAATGGGCTGGATGAGAGTGAATAAACTCAAACTTAATCCAGACAAAATAGAGCTGCTTCTGGTCACTTGAAATCCAGATCAAGGAATAGGGTTGAAGCTTGGTGCTGCATGGGGTTACACTCCCTCTGAAAAGACATGTGAGCAGCTTGGGAGTTGCTCCTGATTTTGTCTCTGAGTCTGGATGCCCAGGTTTTGGTGGTGGCCAGGTGTGTCTTTGCACTGATAAAACTAGCATGCCAGCTGCATTTGTTCCTGGAGAGGCCTGATATAGCCATGGTGACAGACATATCTCTTAGTTACATACCAACTGTATGTCTGTATTGCACCTACATGGGGCTACCTATGGAAAGTGTCAGGAAACTTTAATTGGTCCAAAATACCAGAGCCAAATTGCTAACACAGGAATCACATAACTCCCCTGTTACAATAGCTCCTTATAATGGATCAAATGTTGATCCATTTCCGGGCTGAATTCCAAGTACCTAAATGGCTCGGTCCCAAGATATCTCAAGGACTGCACCTCCTTTTGGGAGCCTGCTTAAGTGTTAAGGTCATCAAGAGATGCCTTTCCCTCAGTCCTGCCACCTTCACAGGTGTGTTTGGTGGGTACATGAGGGAGGGCTTTCTCTGTTGCTGCTCCCAGACTTTGGAACTCCCTCCCACAGAAGGCTACTGTCTTCTGTCCTTCCTACAAGCAAGCAAAGACCTTTCCATTCCGGTAAGCTTTCCCTGAGTGACTGCCTTCTTGTGTGGGGTTTTAAATGGATTGTTGCACCTTACTGTTTTGACTGTGTTCTGCGTTCCTTACATTTTTTAGCATGTTATTTCTTTGATGCTTTCTTTATATTTGTATATTTGAGGTTGTTAGCTTTAAATGCTGTCCTTAGAAAGAAAGAAAGAAAGAAAGAAAGAAAGAAAGAAAGAAAGAAAGAAAGAAAGAAAGAAAGAAAGAAAGAAAGAAAGACTACTGCTGTATAAACTTAGCACAAGAGACAGTCTAGAAGTTTGATATAAGGATGTGCCATTTTTTCTTCTTCAATCCCAACTCCCAGAATTCTTCAAGAATTCCCCAGGCAGGATTGTGGGAGTTCCTGCTCACAGACACACACCTACAGACACTTAGGCTTCACTCACCTGAACAAACCTCTATTCCAGATGCTTCCGGCCTAGTTCTTGTACAAAAAGGACATTTCCCTTGTGCTTCATGGGAGGCCTAGGTTTCCATGGGAGTTATATTCTCACTGCCCATTGGGTTTTATTAGAGAGCTCCTCCAAAAAATGAACACCTTCCAGGAAGCACCAAGGTAGTTTCCCTTTTGTACATGACATAGGCCTGTGGGAGCCTGAGAAAAAAACGAATACCACACCCCTAGTCTGAAATCTACTAAATATGAATACAACTCATATAATGGTGTTGTTGCTTTTTTAAACACATTTTTTAAAAATTAAGATAACTTGCATATTTAGTGATTATGTCTTGTCAAGTCACTTCTGACTTAAGTGACTCTATGAATTAACAACCTCCAAAGGAAATTTAGGCAAATTACTTTCCCTGGATAAACGGGGAAAGTCTGGGAGTTAAGACCAGAGTTATCTACTAGTGATATAATTAAAAATACATGTCCCGTGTAGAAGGATCATATTCCATTTAAAACGGTGTGTTATTTATAGAACAAGGTCTAGCCTAAACTGTAGAGAGTAAGAGCAAAAAGACACTCTTCTGCTTTATATTTTCTGCATTGTCTGGCTGCGATTAACAACATGAAATTCATGAATACTACAGTAAGAAAGGGACCGTTCAATAAAAATCTTATTTACAGCATTGAAGACAGGACAAAAGTTGCATGTTATCTGAACAAAAGCATGCCACCACTTATGGAGCGGATGAAACACAATGTTGAAATCTATATATAAGAAAAATCTATCACAACCAAAGCATCACAACCCTGAAAAAGCTGAAAGTCCACTACTGCTGTGCTAGCTGCACACTGGCTGTAACGCACATTTTCATAGTGGTGAAACAGATCACTTTGTCTCACAATGGGAAGCCAAAAGAAGCAAAATTATTTATAGCAGTCAGAGGAAGATGTGACAATGCACAGCAGAGAGCCACTATATCATGCACAGCTAGCAAAGAAAAGGGATAGAGCTAATGGGATAAGTGGCGTTCAGAAAAAGCTGTTACTCTTTAACACCGGGTTACAATTGCTTCCAGTTTTCTCAGACAAAATTATTTCACATTACCAACTCAAGAAGACGAAGAAGAAGGGGGGGAGGAGGAGGAGTTGTTGTGGTATTTTAAAAAATTAAGATTACAATATCTGAATCAGAGTCACTGTGCAATTCTGTATGCATTGCTTTTACTCAATGGTTCATGCTAACTCCTAGGTAAGTTGTACAGGATTGCATCCTTGGTGTGTTATATTTTAAGTCCTTATTATCTTCTTTTAAAAGTAACCAACATTTTTGGTAAGAGAGGTTAGATCTGCCTAGTGAGGCTACAATCTATGCACCCAAAAAAGTGGGCTAGAGTCCATTTATTTATTTATTTAATTAATTTATTTTAGATCTGCCTAGTGAGGCTACACTCTATGCACCCAAAGAAGTGGGCTAGAGTCCATTAAAGCTTATGGCATAAGATATCTCCTGATTGTTTCTACTGCAATAGGTTAACACAGCTATACATGGAAATAAAAGCTTATGGCATATTAAATCTTTTAGTTTTTAAGATATCTCCTGATTGTTTCTACTGCCATAGGTTAACACAGCTATACATGGAAATAATTCAATATTTATGACTGATATATAGAATTCTTTGTGTTATGTGCACAGTATTTTGGACATGAGCTACTGGCTCTCCACTTAGTCCCATTCCTTTTTCCAGGCTTTTCTGTAAGCCAGAAGAGGGCCCATCACACCCTGGAGCAAAGCAGATAGTGAAAAACACCCAGCATCATAACTTACAAGACTTCCTGTTAACAAAGTTCAGCAGTGCAGGACATGGAAAAATCCCCCATTCCCAAGACTTACCTGCATTACTTCTGCAAGGTAATGTGTGTCACCCCCCGCCCCCAAAATCCCATGAACTGGCATGCTGCTGACTTCGCAGCATGCCCTGGCTGTTGTACCTCATGCAGAAATCTTCCAACACAACTTGCAAAAGAATGTTATGTACTGTTTAAAAACACAAGGGGAGCTATTAAAAATTAAATATGTAACAGTCTCAAACATCCTGACAATATTTCATCTGGCTGAAGTACATAATTTACAGCTACCCTCCATATTTTCCAGATGTAAAATTCTAAGAATTCTTGCCACACACATCTCTCTACAGAGACCAGGCATTTCCACCTCCCAAATTAAGACACTTTTATATTTTGCTGCTCTAATCTTTCTTTTTCCTATTACGCTAAACTTACTTTCTTCTGCTCTCTTCATTCCATTCCCAGTCACGTTATCCTAGGACTCAACGGCTGCCTGCCTATGTCCAGTGTGTTCTTCTCTAACAGCCGCCATACAATACATCTTTCTTCTTTGTTAAGATTCATAAAAATTGTTCTTGGAAACACTTGAGAACATCTGGCTGGTAGACAACATTAAGGCACAGCTCTTTGCTGAAGCAGGAGTGGGAAGGAAGAAATGTAGCCATCTGCACTGGCTTCCTGTTCATTTCCTGGTTGAAGTCAGGGATGTTTTGGGTAGTCATAATGTTTCTCATACGTGATGATTTTTCATGGCTTGCCATGTCAAGACTCTACCCTTCATCAGTGAGATTTCCAAGCTTCTTGCAGAAATGACCGTGGTCTCCCTTTTATTTATCCCACACACATACACCTCTATTTTTTACCTATTATTTTTGTACAGCTCTCATATTCTGCACAAGTTAATGCCCTTTCCTGCACAGAAAAGATGTAGTTCTGTTCAAGAATCACAAAAACTCTGCACAGTTTCGACTTTCTTCTGCTCATTCCAGATGAGTCCCCTGCCAGATAGAAGCCATTCTTTGCAGAAACAGGAACAATCCTATACACTTTGCCATGCCTTCCAGAAAAAAATAACACAATTATTCTGAGAAGTTCCACAACATTTGCTTCAAGAATTTTCGGGCATGAGGTGGGATGGAGAGGATTCTCACTGTGAGGAGAAAAGAGTGGCTGTTTTTTTGTTTTGATCAAGATCAAAAGGCTCCACAATCCACACCCCTACTCCAATCAATATTACTTTCTCATCTCTCTCTTACTTCTAACATCTACTTCAGGTCAGGGTTTTCCTTCCAGCCCCCTTACACTTACCTGGCATGATAATGTTGGAAAAGCCCAGTTTCCTTGTTATTGATAAGCCGTGGGTAAACATAGAGGCATAGTCCCTCCTAATTTGTTCAATGTCTCCATGTAGCAGCTGAAGAGAAACAGCTAAGCCTACAGAGGGAGGGGGGAGGGAAAACACACAACAGAGATAAGAACATTAGATCTTCTGTTTACACAAAAACACTAGGCCATTTCTCAAGTGGATAGAAACAATTATCCCTATATTCATGGGGTCCAAAACTATCTACTTTGAAAGATAGTAGAATGTAAAATGAGGATGAACAGGACATTTGCTGTTGGCAGTGCCATTCTCAGGAGAGCAGTCCATAGCTATGAAGTGCATTTTGCTATACAAACTGATCTCAGGGACTCAGAGATTATCACGTTATGTACAGAAATCAATGCTACATAGAAATAAAGGATGTATCCCATAGCTGTGCCCACATTACCTTTTCACATTTTCCAGCCTATCTATGAGCAGAGAAATTGCCGGGGAGGGGGGGGACTGTATCACAGAATTTCTACAGCCTAAGGAGAAATTCTTAAAATATTTCTTAGAGACAACCACAAAACCGAAAGGTGACTAATCCCTCAGCCACTTTTTGCGACCCATCTCTTTCTTATTCTATAGCTTTCCTGGTTGCCCACAGTTCTCAACTTAACAACAACCCCCCCAAAAAAACATTTGGGAGAAGTTGTTTGGGCTTTAAGGGAAGTGAGAATCTTGGAGCTTGAAATGATTACATAATAATGAAACTTCTCGGACATTTTATAATCCCAAACCTTGTCCATGAAAATTTCACTGAAATTTTCACTTCCTTTGAAATTCTTTTTAAGGAAATTAATTTTCTATCAAACTGAATGAGAATGATAGGTATGCTCTTGGGAGAAATTTCCAGCATAGCACTAATTGATTCATTTCCTTTTTTCAGTACTCAAACCTTTGCAAACACCTGATAACAACTCCATTTACTGTCATACACCTTGACTTGAAGTAAATTAGAAAGAGCAGGTTCTGTATAAAGTTGACAGCACTCAAAGGCTTTCGATTCTGATAGTTAAGCTTAGAACTCTGATACACTAAGCCAGAGTGTTGAAGTGGAACACTTGTGGAACACATGAAACCAAACAAAGAAGAAAGAGATAATGTTTGAAGCTGAGATTCTGAGATGAAAAGAGAAAGTTTCCAGTTTGACTGGAATTAAATTCTCATATGGGGGAGGAGCAACTTCGTGTGGAGTGGTGCACTTGGGATAGAACTCCTAAAGAATATGATAGTTAAGAGTCAATGTCTAAAGAAGGATGAAGCTCTTTGTAGCTCTTTTGCCCCAACGGTTAGAGTGAGTGCGATTGGAGGAGGCTTGGGACTGCCTGGTAAGGTAAGGTGCTGCTTTCTGCTTTTTAAAAACTGTTCTGGGTAGGTCTGGCAGCGTGGTTTTGGGCTCGGGGGTTGTTTCTGTGCTGTGATGAGGGGGTTTGTTTTTTGGTATTTCCCCCCCATTTCCGATGGGTCTTGTGGGGTTTGCTTGCTTTTGGGGTCCCCCCATTTCCGATGGGTCTTTTGAGATTTGGGTGCTTTTTGCTTTGCTTTTTTTGCATTTCTGATGGGTCTTGCACGTTTTGCTTGCTTTCTGTTTTGTTTTTTTGCATTTCCGATGGGTCTGGGTCTTGCCTATTTGGAGCTTTAAAACAATGTTATTTTAAATAACACTGTTGTTTTAAATATAAGACTGTCACAAATGCAAAGTAAAATATTTCGGATCCCATGAAATATGTTAGATCCTATAGACTATAATATAGCTTTCACTGTGGTCACCACAATGTTATGTTTGCTGCATCATAATAGCTAATTCAATTGGTTGTCCAGTGCAAATAATTGAATTCATTTTTAAATGGTTTGTGTTTTTGCATGGAACAATCATCAGTACCAAACCAGGGCCTACAGCAGCATAAGCGGCTAACAAGAAACTTTTAGGGATAAGGCAGATTCCTGGTGACCTATATAACAGACTTTTCACTACAACTTGCTTCTGTCTGTTATATTTCTAGTTTCGCCATTAAGGTATGGCTGCTAGGATGGCTCATGCTAAGCTTAGCTAACAGAATATTCTCTGCTTATAAAGATAACCAATTGCTATAAAAATAATAAAACGTGATCCCAATCTACCTGTATTTCACTGCATTAGAAAATCAACAAATAAGCCAGTGCATGAATTTAATCATGTTATCATAATGATAGCAAACACATGGCTGCAGTAGATTACTGCAGCCACCATAAGTAATGAAAGGGGAAATGCAATATAGTGCATTGCAGTCAGTAAGAATAATGAGGATGGAAATTTGGAGCCTTTCTGAAGCATGGATCGCAATGGAGACTGAGTAGCACTGGCATAGTATGTTGATATCTGATGAAATGCTCATCGTGGTAAAGGAAACATGAATGGACAGAGAGATTATGTCGATTTGAGTCCCCTCAGGTACGCACAGAGAGACCTACTGCACCAATATGTACCGTATGTCTCCTTCTGGTAAAAATGCAGTTCACATCATGGCAGGGCCAAGCAGGCATATTTACCTCCAACTCAGCCTTGCTTAGTAAGTGTTCAACCGTGCCTGCGCTGGCCTCCTCTCATGATCTTAAGAGCCAAGAAGGCGCATATGAGGAGATACGGTCCTTCAAGGAGCCTGGACTTGGGCTCTATAGGTAATATGCAGCACTTTGAATTGGACTTGGAAACCGACTGGAAGCCACTGCAGTTGTTGTAGCAGGGGGATTATATGCTCCCTATAAGTGGCCCCAGTCAGTAGTCTGGCTGCTGCATTTTGAACCAGCTGAAGTTTCCAAATTACATAGGCAGCCCTACGTAGTTCACAAATTCCTGCTTTACTTTGTGTTTCCAAACTACATAGGCAGCCCTGCGTAGTTCACAAATTCCTGCTTTACTTTGTTGACTCCTCCTTTTCCCCCGTTCACAGGACCTCTCTGCTATGCCCAACTAAGAAGTCTGCCCTTGTTGTTGAAGAGAAAACTCTCTTTTTAAAAAGTTTAAAAAAAGCACTTAAAAATCAAAACCGTAAAATGAATCTTCAAATGTTTCTCTTCCGCTGTCAAGTTATAATTAAAACTAATTGAGCAATAACAGCTGAGGAAAAAAACAAAACAAAACAAAACAAAAAAACCCTGTCTGAAAGTTCAATTGCCCTGGCTGTTCATTTACTGAGAACAAAGAGGGATGCTTTCATGCTGTGTGTATTTATGTTGAATCACAAGATCTCAGCATCACTCCTCCTTTGAATTTCTTTCAAATAGCAGCTTTCAGTGACAACTCCTGCTTAAACACATCAAAGCATAATGTACATAATCTCTTTGCCCCAGAAGTGTAATGAAGGATTTAAAATGGCAGATTAATATCTTGTCACAAGAGTATGAAGTAATTAAACACAAGCACTCTACTGTACAGAATATTATTGTCACTGTAAAACACAACCCTCTAAGTGGTGTTGATACATCTCTGAACCTTTGTAGCAATTGATCAAAGACCAAGTTGGATCAGAGGCACGATACAAGGTAGCCTAATTTAAATACACCCAGCCCAATCACTGGGCAGAGTATGGCAGCTGCCTCAGGCAGAAGATTTTGGGGATAAATAAAAAGTAGCAAATGGATGTTATGTTACTTGCTGTCAAGTCGGAACTGACTTATAGCGACCTTAATAGAGCTTTCAAGGTAAGTGAGATATTTTAGGAGCGGTTTTACTAGTTCCACACCCACAGTGAGTTTCCATGATCAAGTGGGAATTTGAACCTGGGCTTCCTAAGTCCTAGTCCATCACTCTACCCACTACACCAGTATCAATAAACTGATAGATATTTAACTTCTTGTTGTTTTATTTGAACTGATATATTCAAGAACACCTTGTGGAATGTTCTGCCTCAGCTGCCCAAATCATTTAACTAGACTTGCATCTTATATACTTTGACGAGGTGTCATTTTCTACTTTGCCTCATACAGCAAAGTGCTTTGGGTTATCTGAGCTTTTATGTTATATGCCATTAAATTACATTCTGATCAGTTTGGTAGGAAGAGGAAGACATTTCCATTTAACCTAATCAAATGTTCTCTGCAGAAGTACCAATCTTGCCCAAAGAATATTTTCTGGATGACACGGTGGTACTTAGGACTCCACTGAACACACCCAAGGGGACCCAGATCTATATAACTCTATCTCTTTCCACATTTCATAAATCTTTGATTTTGGATCCTAGATAATCATTAACTGGCACTTAGTTTGTTTGGTTTTTTTTGAAAAATATAACCTACAAAGGATGAGACCATTCGTATGAGGATTGTAATGTACAAAGTAGAGGGCCATATGTATTTAAAGCACCATCTACTAGTCACTCCGCTACTTTTACATGTAAGTACACAAAATGCCATGGGAGAGGTGCATGTTATTCCAGTTAAAGTGACATCAATCATGAGGAATACTAAAGCTAGGAGGATTTTTGCAAGCATCAAGGAGAAACCAAACTTTCAGCCCAGCAATAGATCTGTTAGAAAAATCTTGAAAATAAAGTGTTGTGTTTTAAAAGCTCCCTAGCCTACCTCCCCCCCACCCCCCGCTGCCGCCATGTACAGCAGAGAAATCAAATCAACACTCTTGGTGTGAAGTTATTTTAAGGTTACAATTTACTAAGACTGCACATATTGCAATCAGGCTTTAGCTAAATCAGGTTTCAGCCAAAGTCTGGTTTACATTAAGCATCCAGCGTCTCATGGGACAAAGTACACATGCACACTTTCTGAGCATCATCATCATATCTCTAAATATAGCTTTAAAAATTACCTACACCATATTCAGTGAATTCCTAACCAAGAACAACACATCAGCCAACACTGATGACTTGAAAAAAACACCTGGCTGAAATCCTGCTGCTTTGCATAGTAAGTGCAGTTAGAGGAGGTCCATTAGGTCCATGGAATCTATGTAGGAGTTGACTCACTAAACCCACCCCTGATTCAAAGGGCTTATTGTCGTTGCAACTTCATATGCTAAGCAAAAGCATCTCACCCACTAGGTCCCTAACCCATCAGCCCCTGTGATATTTGCATAATTAAAGCTAAATAAGCAGGTGTATTGTGTTCTAGTGACCAAAAATATTCAAGACAATCTGAAACACATCAAAGTTTAAATGTGACACAGATCAAACAACACTGCCACTTTATAAGACTGTGGTATGCTTACTCTTCTCTTACTTTAGCAGTCTTGAATATCCGACATCAAGCGGGCAGTTCACTTTATCTTCAACATGCTCAGCAGCAAGCTGGATCAAATGACTCTGTACAAAGACATGACTGCTAACACTGCATAGTGACAGGGAAGCTTTGTTGTCACTTTTATTACTCCAATAATTTCACAAGATTTGCGACTGCGCCTCCAGAAGATGCTGCATTGCAATTCCATCACAGCTAGCTACTATAGCCAATGGTGATAGCTCATGGGAACTGTAGTCCAATAACAGTGAGAGGGCTGAATTTATAGCAGTTGACTTGGTGCACACTTGGCTGTAGAAATCAGAGTGTGTGATTTGCAATCCTGCTTGTGTTTCTGGATTGCAACTGACTTGCAAGTTACCCACCCCATAATAAACGGACAAAACGTTATGGAGGGTTGTATGAACGTTGTTATTCTACAAGGACTCAGATTATGGAGCGGGATGAAAAATTCTGCTCACCAAAACAGGGAGAACTTGGCCTTCCTTAATTTTTTTTTTAAAAAACAAGCTCTAAGAAAATGTATAAATCACAAGGGTAATCTCTGCTGGAATCTTATCTACAACATTTGAAAATCACTTACTAGAGTATAGCTCCTAGAATCTCAAGAATCGTGTAAGCTGGGTGACTATGGGACAGGTTGTCTGAAAAATAAGTTTTACCACTACCAGACCAGACATAGCTACTGCTGTAGGAATAGTAAGCAGAAAAGTTTGCCAAACAGAGTAATTGAAAAAAGTAATTCAACAGCTGTAAAAAGTATTTGAAAGAGACTATGGTCTATAACAGCAGTTCTTAACCTTTTCTTTACCACGGTCCCTCTTTAAATATATTTTGTTGCCCTAGAACACTAAGGCTTAACTCAAGATTAATATTAAGGGTCTCATTGACAGATATTCCTTGCTATAATGGCAACACTTCTTAAAACGACTGGAAGAAGCTTAATTTTGCTTTGAACAGGATGCACCCTCATCAATAGCCTCAGTTCTTTTATGTTTCAAATTCAGCCTACAATCTGTTCTGAGGCTCCACCAAAATGCACTATTAATGAAATTCATTGAGATAATATCAAAAGGTCACTTTACACAAGAAATTGAAGAAGAAACATGATCACAAAGTCTGTTCAAACACTCACTCACACTGACACTGACTGACTCTGACTCTCTGTTCCCACAGCTTCTGACTGTCTGCACAGCAGCAAGAAATGCCATGTGCTGTTTCTCAGCCACTCAGCATCATTCACTTGCATATTCTCACCATGTGCAGAAATATCAAACACTTATTTGCCATCAAACAGTTATTTTCATAACCAATGTTTACTTTTATTTGTTTTTAATGGAGGTGGTAGATTAGAAAAGTGTTTCCTTTTTTTTCTTTTTCTTGCCTGTTTGCTTTCATTCTTTCTTTCTGGTTTAACTGCAAAAGATCACAACATTTCTCCAAGCCTTCATGGACCCACTATGGCCTCTCATGAGTCTGCAGACCACAGGTTAAAAACCTATGGTCTTTAAGTTAAGACTACTAGCTAATAAAGAAACAAGGCTTGTAGGGCACACTGATGCAGACTGAGCAGGAGACATACTTCTTATGAGGGAACCCTTCCAGAACATGTGCAGAAAGACGGGCCTTAGGGAATGTGGCTGCTTGTGAATTTCAGAAGAGTGCATGCTGCCTGTAGTTTGCTGGGCTGGGAATAATTTTTCTGGGCTGTGGTGTTCATCTATCCAACAGTAGCTAACTAGTCCTTCCAATCTTTGCATTCAAAGAGAGCACCACATCTCTGGGGAGTGTCTCTTTCCTTCTCTTTTTTTAGTCTGTTGGTGGCAGTTGCTTATTTGCTGTTGATCTGTTCAGTTGGTTCCTAAGTATGTATGCAGTAAAGAAAGCAGCATACCCAAGTCTGCAACTTCAAACAACTGTAAGTAAAGACTTTTAAACTTCTTTCTCCTACAAATGTCTCAAAATGAATTAGTGAGACTAAGTGCCAACTAACAAGAAAGGGGTGCAATCTGGGGAACTTGTAGTTATTCTCCTCTGTAAATCTCTGTATTTCTACCATGTAGCAAAAAGGAATTTCACTGTGAATTTACAACTCTGTAACAAACCAGCCACCATTCATCTTGGTGAACAAGGTATCATATTTTTCTTTTCAAAGGACAACAACGAAGTGTTTCCTGCTGCTTGCAAAGCCAAAACACCACATGATACAAGACATTATATGCAACACAGAATTTCTAAACAAAATCAGGGCAGTGATTTACCAGCATTGGATCCTGTTAAGTTATAACGAGCATTTAGCTTTTTGATGATGTTTTCATGGATCTGATACCAGTCACTCTCTGTGTTACACCTGTAGAAAAGAGAGGGAAAAAAAGGGGGGGGGAGGATATTTTAACATTCAAATAAAACAAACTGTATTCTGCAGTTCATGGGGCAAATTCAGAGCATCTGCCTCCACATAGTAAACATAAATCTATTTTCCCACTTGTAGAAGAGGACCTGAATCAATTTGTATCTGGGGTTTTGTGACAATGTCCCCCAAGCACATTGCGTAGAAGAAAAACTATAGAAAGAGCAAATATTAAGAATGTTTTGAGCACCAGCTGCAAATTTGAGAGAACATCCGCGGTGGAGGGACAAAGCCCTATGCCAGGCCTTTTCCAATATCTGCAGTGCCTCTGAGATAATTTCCACCCCATCACATCCCCATCTTGTGCCATGATGTTCATTAGTTTACAGTGTATATGATGTACATTAGTTCAGTGGTTCTTAACGTGGGCGATACATGATGTTCATTAGTTCACACTGCAGAGATTATATGTAACTCATGGTCAAAGCGACAGTCAGTCTTGTGACACTTTGAAGTCTAACAAGCTCTACTTGGTCTAATGTTTCCTGCACTTGCATCTAACCAAGGGGGCTGCTGTCCATGAAAATGTATGCCAGATAAGACAAGTTAGGCTTTTTAGGTGCCACTAGACTGTTTGCTTTTGCCGCAGCAGAGTAACATGGGTACCCCCTGGATATCAAGAGCAAAGAAAATTATACTGAAATAGAATTCCTTTAGAAGTGAGTTTACTGAAACTGGGAAGCTACCACCAAGGTAATTACTAGCACTAATTCTGGCCTAGAAAATACTGCTTTCAATTATTCTTACAACACCAAAACCATTCAGATTCCAATTAAATTCCAAATATATTCAGTGGTGCCTCGAGTTATGAACTTAATCTGTTCCGGAAAATGGTCATAACTCGAAATGGTCATGAGTCGAAACAAATAGGAATGCATTGAAAGGCAATTAATTCATTCTGGCTGAAGAAAAAAAATCACCAAAAAAAGACAACAAAAACCAACAACTGCAAGACCCATCAGAAACACGATTAATCTGTTCCGGCCAAAGGAAAAAGAAAACAGAAAACCAAACAAAACGTGCAAGGCCCTTCAGAATTCAAAAAAGCAAAGCAAAAAGCAAGCAAAAAGTGCAAGACCCATCGGAAATGCAAAAAAGCAAAGCAGAAAGCAAGCAAACCATGTAAGACCCATTGGAAATGCAAAAAAAGCAAAGCAGAAAGCAAGCAGAGTGCAAGACCCATCGGAAATGCAAAAAAGCAAAGCAGAAAGCAAGCAAACCATGTAAGACCCATTGGAAATGCAAAAAAAGCAAAGCAGAAAGCAAGCAGAGTGCAAGACCCATCGGAAATGCAAAAAAGCAGAGCAGAAAGCAAGCAAACCATGCAAGACCTGTCGGAAATGCAAAAAAAGCAAAGCAAAAAGCAAGCAAACCCTGCAAGACCCATCAGAAATGGGGGCACCCAAAAAGCAAGCAACCCCCAAGACCCATTGGAAATAGGGGAAAAACCCAAAAAATCAAGCAACCCCCTTAAGACCCATTGGAAATGGGGGGAAACCCCAAAAAGTGAACAAACCCCCCAAAGACCCATCAGAGCATATAAACATAATCCCATCACCCAGCCCAAAACCACACTGCGAAACCCACCCAGAACAGTTTTTTAAAAAGCAGAAAGCAGCATCTTATCTTACTAGGCAGTCCCAAGACTCCTCCAATCGCACTCACTCTAACCGTTGGGGCAAAAGAGCTACAAAGAAGCAGCCTCTTCCCCTACCAATGGTTAGCAATTTGAATTCC